GCCAATGGCAACAGCAACAGCAAAGGCAAAGGCAAACTGCACGCCAAGTGCATTAGTTGGCCTCATAAACATTGATAAGCGGCGATAAGGGGCATACCTATCCACTCCCATTCCGATCCCATTACGATCCGCATTCCCCGGGCAAATTGTAGCACTCATAATTTGTTTTTGATTGCCTGGCACTTTAGCCGGCTGCTCTTGGACCTAAGCAAACCGAAATATAAATCCAAACAAGTGCTCTCTGCGCCGTCTAGGGGACACTCGAAGCGCCGGGACAAACAAAACAGGACCAGGCCGAAGGGACTTGGGACTTGCCATTCGGATAGGGATTGGGACTGGAATAGGGACAGGGATAGGGGAACCAGGGACCGAACCAGGGACCAAAGACCAGACCCTTGGACCCATCTCTTCTTTATTTGTCGGCATCTTTTACTCTTCGCTGGCGCTTCCGTCGCTGCAACGAGAGATGCAAATGGTTATGTCTGGCCAAACACACTGGGAAAAACATCGTGTCTGAAACAGGTTGAAATCCACAGAAATAAAAAGTTTAATGGAGTTTTAAGCGAAAAGAGCTAAATCTGCACTATTTAAAGTTTCACTCTAGTTACCTGCTAAAAGAATAAAACAATTTTGGGACAAAAAAATACATTTCTTATCTTTTTAACCTATTACATTTCAATTTATGATTTTCTATTTATTTTTATATAAGCTATCATATAAGAAAACTATTATATACTAATTTATAAAATGTTCTTCCTCTCTATATATTTTTTTCTCAGTGTTGAACGGAGTGGAAAGGGAATGAGTCTGCTCGAAAGTCTTTTGACAATATTTGCGCGCCCTGACAATAAAACGCAAAGTGAAGTCTTGAGCTGCAGTTCCACCATCTGCCTCCACAATATTTTTGTATTTTTGTATTTTCGTATTTGTGTGTTTGTGTGTTTGTGCGGTGGGTCATTTAAATTTCATGCTAAATCAAAAATGCTTGTGTTTATTATTTGTTTTGTGTGCTGTGCTATGCTGTGCTGTGCTGAGCTGAGTTCTCGGTCGCAGAACGCTTTTCCTGTTTGTCTTTGCATTCCAGTTCATTTCAGCGGAGCGGCGCTTGTGTGTGAGTTGTCTTTTCCTTTTGTTAGCCAAGAAGGCGCCCTTTCCCATCCTCCTGCCGAGCCCCCCGCCCTGCCTTCCACACCCAGCGATGGCAGGCGGCATCCTTTGTGGCCTACACAGGATGTCGATTACATTTGTTTACTGCACTCGGCGCACTATAATTTCCCCCTCGTTTAATGAACAGGTGCCCCAGCGTGGTTGTGTTTGCTGGAATTGTATCCCATTCCCTGCTTAATTTCGCCAAGTGTAGAGTGCACTGGGATCTGCGACATCGGAGACAAACATCGCCGCACGAATGGCATTTAATCTCAAAAGCGCATCACCAGATTTACGCCCAAGACAAGATCAAAGCGTCAACTTAGCATTCAGCGGGCCACCAATCAGATGAACTGCGAAATCCACTCGAGATGCAATTGGATAGCCAACATTGTCCACTGGAGTTTGGATGCCTTGAGAGGGATTTTGGGAGGAGAAATGGAGCAATAAACGCATGATTTGCATTGAATTTTGAGATTGAAGTGGTTTATCAAAGAAAAGCACTGTTCAACTTATATATATATATTTTAAGGTCATGAAAATAGCAATTATAAACGCATTTCAAAGTTGTATTTTTATTTCGTATAGGCACTCCCTTAAAGTGCAATAAGAGCTTATTTTGCAGCAGACTTACATACGTACACCGTCAACATAGTTGCATAAGTGTGCTTAGCCAAACTAAGAACCAAGGTCTGGGCCAAGCCGACCACTCCTGGCCAACAGATAAATAAGCGATAACGTTTTAATGGCTAGAAGTCAGATCCCCTTGGTTATTGCCGAGATCGTGGGTGTCGGAGGAGTGGGGTCCCGATCCCGGTCCCGGGCATTACTCAATCAGCAGGCCATAAATGCTAGCTGATTAATGCAGCCGCCAGGCCGACGACAAGTGCAACATTTCCGGTGACAATGATGGGGACTTGCTTGTGCACTGAGAGAAATCGGTTCCCTTTCTACTTGATACTTTTATTCCATTTTTCTTGAATTATAATGAGCTACAAGTAGTTCAAAGGTAAAAGTTTAAGATGGAAGATTTGTTCTGTTAAAAGAAATGTAGATTATTAAGCTAAAATGTAGGACATTATTAAAGTCGTTGTTCGGTATCAGATGCTCTGTTAAGAATGTGTTAATTAACATAAGACTTGTTTATTACTATTTTAACAATTATAAAAATGTATATGTCTTGCAAGTACTAGCAACTGTTTAGGACTTATAATAGCTTGTAAAATTGATATATTTGAAATTCAAAAATATTTTTCTGTGCAGATTGGGGAGTGGTGCTGAAGTTGCCGGCAATGAAGACGACGGCATGCAGTCTGCGGATCACGGAGTGGCAATCAAACGGAGGCCACATTTGGGGTCCATGACAATGACAAGTGTCAAAACGCAGGTTGCACTCATTTAAATTGGCATGATTTACGTTTGCCCCGGCTGGCTACCGACTAGCAGATATCCATGTCGTCCGATGGTTGCAACTGCGGTAATATGGCAAATTCCAACAGCACTTAACAAGCCGCAGCCAAAGGAAATGACAAACAGCAGTGCGCTGCGGAGACAAGACGATGACAGGGCCAAAGGGAATGGGTTTGGAGTTGGAAGCTGGGACTTTGGGAATAGGAGATGGGAGATTGGAGATGGGAGCTGGGCGATCCAAGCCGATTCGATCCGGATTCCGGAGTGGCCATCAAGCATTTGCGTCGGGGGCAGAGGGTCGTCGCCGTCGCCATCGCCTCATGTTGTCCATGTTCATCGCCAAGTCGCCTCCATCCTCACAGCCATTTGGTGTGCATGCAAAGTGTTGAATAATTTGTTGCGAAATATTTCTAGATACACAATGTCGGCGATTCGCGTGCACCCCACAAAATCGTCAATTTTTAGATTAATAACTTCTTCATTGTTGGTTCTTAAAATATCAAATGTTGTGTCGGTTTTAGCCAGCTAATTTATAACACATTTTTTTAATTTTAAATACATATTTACATATACATATTTATACTAAGCATAAAAAGTGGACAATTATTGGGCACCTTAAAAACCAGAGCTATATAAACTAAGCATAGAAACTGTGTTGGAAAATTAAATAATATAGGTAGTATAGAGTGCTACCATTATTTCGTTGTTCATTAGAGTTCCTTTGTCGGGTGTTCCTGCCGAAGAGCTCTGGTTGGAGGCAAGCTTGTTAGTGTGCAACATGCTGTTGCAACGCCGGCGACTGTAGCGGCCACTGCAACAGCAATAGCAATAGCAACAGCAACTGCAACTGTTGCGTTGCTGCGTAATTAAGTGGGCGACAGTCTGGTAAATGCAAATTTCTTGGCCTTGTCGCACTGCTCGCTGCAGGACATGGCCAAATGCAGATGCTGGCGACCGATATGCCCGATAAGCCGGTGATGTTGCTGCTGTTAGCGGGTTGATGTTGCTGTTGCAGATGTTGCTGTTGCTGTTGCTGCTACCGCCGCATGTAGACGGCGATAAGCGCTCGCCTATGATCTATGATCCTGACCTTGGACGGCAGCTCAGAATGCGCATACGCAATGTTGCACATTCTTAATTAAAATGTCAAAACTGGTTTAATGGCGTTAATGAACGAACAGCGCGCAGTTCGTTAGTTGGGCGAACAGGTCGTAAGCTTTGACAATATTGTTTGCTGCGAAATAGTTTGAATACCTTGTAGTTCGATGTCCATGGCTTTGCGGATCGCTGTTTGATCTGCCAGGCGATCTGGGCTTTGATTTATAGCCAAGTGTGTTGCGTTTTCGAACAAAAGCAGCCGCCGCCGGAAAATGGAAAGTTTTCCGCGCTGCCTTGACAGTTTGCGTAGCAAGCGTTGATTTATAGAAATCAAATCGCTGTCTGCTGGCCATTGTTAAGGTCGTTATCGTGGCTGCAAAACTGCGCTGAGCTATGCCAAACTATGCCAAACAAATGGCAAGACAACGCAGTCTGCTGTTTGATCATGACTCTTGAATAACATAGTGCAGGGTGAATAATTAATGATTTTGATCCGGCTTACTTGATTTTTCTTTCAATGTTTGAAGGATATGCCTTTTAGTTATCCATATTGTATTTGTGTCAATCTTCATTTCTTGTCTAGCTTAATCAAAACCACTTTCGACTATATAATTATGCTTATAATTTCTCCTCCTTCATGACCCTTTTTATTGGTTTTAAATGGTAACTCAACTGTAAAGACCCAATGCTAAAGCCCATGCCATTAATTTCAGTCTCTCTTACTCAGAACTGGCGCCTCTGCTGCCGAGCTACACTTAAAAAAATTAAGATATTCAGCTAGGATTGAATACTTTAAGAAAAGCATTCAGGATAACCATGCACATAGACAGACAGATAGGAAAATGTTTATATTAAATTTGTTTTCCTTGACATGAAACTCAAAACGATTTTCCCCTGTGCATCGAACCAAGCGACTCTTGGGGGATCCCTTGTCTGCAAAGTTGTGTGATTTATTTGGGCGGCTCGGGTGTTTTTGCTCTTTGTGCGCTGCGCTTTTTATTATGGCACAATTTTTATTATTTTTATTGGTGCGCACTCGAGTGGATTTCGCTGGAGTGGAGCAGTTGCAGGCCCATGACGCGACGCACCACCCGCACCACTTTACTTTTTTTAAGAGGGAATCGCAGGAGGCGGCTGTAAATACAACTGCACTGGGCATGCATATCCAGGCGGGCACAAACGAATATGTGCATTTATTATTTTACTTGGCTTGCTCGCATTTTGCAGCAACGATCTGTAGACACAATAAATTACCAATTATATTTTCATTTCATATTTCTGTCATTGATTTCGCTTGCAGACCAAGGCTGTGGTTCCATGGGCCCCACCCAGCAACTCAGACGAAAATTCATATCCAATGTAAGGGATTGTTTGTTTTATCAATCAACAGACGAAATTGTATTACTTTTAAATACGTACCGAAAAATACACAGACAGATTTCAAAAATATATTAACACACGTTGTGGGTGTGCAGTCGGAAACCCCTGAAAACTAATTGACATCCATGCGGTCGCTCTTCCCTTCTCCCCAGTTTCAATGCATACAAATGAGTCTGGTAAATAGTATACAACAAGCAGCCTAAAAAAATTAAGTTAATTATAATTTATACCCTAGTTCGGAACTCGATTAACACACCTGTTACGGCTATTAAGACTAAAATGATGTACGCTTTCCATTCATCACTGTAGAAATTCCAATTTCTGCTTAGCTTCATAGATTCAACAATAACGACTGTCACAATCACAGAAAGAATTATCCCAATCCAGATCCACACTAGAACATAATTTAGCTGGAAATTAAAATTGTCAGTATAAAGAGTGAGGAAGAAAAAAATAGTTATACCATGATTACGCCTAACAAAAGAAGACATGCGCCTAAAAGTCCAAAACTTATTGCACCCAATTCAATTCGATCGTACAGGGTGTGACCTGTAGAAAAACGAATAATTGTAAAGGTTCTCTATTAAATCTGGCATATTAATTTGTATATTTACGGCTGGACAAATATACTATAAGTGCGATAAACAATATTATGGCAAAAACGGCCCATATACCGCATTCCAATCGACGAGATAACCCTACGCCGCATAATTTACACATTGTTTTTTTCCCATGAGTTTTACTGACTGGTATGTTGACGTTTGGCTTTCAAATTAAACAGAAAACTCTAAGATGATCCCTTTTAAAACGAAACTGATTTGAATTCCAATAATTTGATTTACATTAGCTGAAAGAAAATTGAAGATTTACTGGAAATCAAGTTATTGAATGTTAAACTTTGTTTTTGCATTTACCTTGAAATTTAACTAAACGGGTTTTCTTGCTAACTCTAACTAAAGTTTTATTTAAATGTTCACTGAAAATAGCTAAAACTCAAACTTTAAATACTTCTACAATTAAGATTTAATGTCAACGCGTGTTAAATCCACATGTTAATTTATTTGATTAAAGCTTTTAAAAAGTAATCGAAAACTTTAATATTTTATATTATTCAAAAGAATGGAAATAAATTTTTCAGCTGAATTGTTTTAAACCTGAACTTTAATGAATCCTAGCAGCCGGAAAAGTGCAATCTTAACCGTAAAGCCAAACCATCCCCCTGGTTCAGTTATTCGAAAGAAAATCGCGAAAATCCCTTTGTTAGACTGTTTTTATTTTCGTCTGCAGGCGGGACCGTCTATATTTATTTCCTTTGTCGCTCTATAAAGCCGACCAGCTGGCTTTGTGCAAAGCCTGCCGCCACATTAAGCCCCCGCCCAGCGATTTGGGAATGGAAATCAAAAGTCGCCGTTAAAGTGTCTAGGAAATTGTGCATGCATTAAATAAATGAAACTCCAGTCACCCGGGCGGACAGGCAGAATGGCCAAGGGTCGGACCAGGAATAACCTCGGTCCATGTGCAAATTAAAATGGGAATAGGAGTAAAAGGCGGGGAATTTGTAGAGATGAGTGTAAAAAAAATAAAAGCACACTTCACTTTCAAACGAATAACTTTTAGGAAAGGGTAAATAAAATAAAAGGAAAACCTACCGTCGCATGTTAAAACTTTTTTATGTTATATATTATAAAATTTTGAGTACATGTTGTTTGTTTTTACTTTATTAAACATTAAATGAATGATTTAATATATTAAAGGAAGACAAATATTACGCCAAAGCAGTATAAATCATATGCCACGACTAAACGAATTCAGTTACTTGCAGTTACTTACCTCTTCCTCAAGTACGTTTTAATTGGCTTGGCCAATTATAAAGTTCGGCAGAAAATTCCAACTAGCCCAAAAGCTAAGAAAAATCCAAAAGCCCGTCGATAGGCACCGCATGTAATTCAATCTGGGCAGCTCAGTTTTTCCGGGCTCTTTGTCGGGTTCTGTGTGGGTTTACCTTGAGGGGCGGCCAGGTGGTCTAATTATACTCTCCAATTTTCATGGTTCCCGTGAGCTTGTGTTCTCTGCTCTGTGCTGTATTTCTGATGCATATTTTACCATAATTTGCTGTTCTTGTTCGTCTGCCAGTTGTCCTGGTGCACAAATTGCGAATTGAAAACTTCGAAAACTAACGGCAATTACAGAATTTTCCGAAACCGAAACCAAAGTCGAGTACGAGATGCCGAGAGAAAGGAAAGCCAGAGCCCAAAACTTGGACTATTTGGCTGACTGTGCGTGTAATTATAATTTTCTTTAAGTCGGTTTGCGCAAACTTTTCTTTATGTCAAAGTTTTGCCCTGCCCTCTTTCCCCATCCTCTCAATCCTTGCGACCGCAAATAATTTTGTGGGAAAAGTTGCCGCTTTCCCCTTTTCTGCGAATTTTGCCGATTTTTCCATGTTGTTGGTAATTATGCTCTTTGTGCGACGCAAGCAAACTTTTGGGTACATCGTCTGAGTGTATTAGTTGTAATGTGCTTCGGTTAGCCCAAGGAAGCGAGCAAGTTGCCAAACTTACGACAACAATAACAAAGGCAAACAAGCGTCGCGAAGGAGCAACAGGATCCCTTTCCCGGCTGTTTGTATTTTGGGAACTTACCTGTCGCTTCGACCAGATCCTTTGGCTAGACAATGTGTCTTATTAGCGGAGCTTGCCAGCGGCAAACTTTCCAATGATTTTCATTCATTAGAAGTTCGGCATCAAATTTACAGCTAATCACGTTTATGAATAGGAACTTTAGCAACAGTTTTTCGCCATAATTGTTGGGTCGGCCATTCTTCAAATGTTTTCCACCATTACCAGACACACTTCAGGGAATTCGAATGACTTTCGCTTCAAGGTTTTTTGTACACGTTGTAATAAAAGTAGAGAATAAATAATAGCCAAAAGCAAGGATACACTAAGCCAATTAGTAAGTTCTTTATGAAAAAGACTGGATTACTTACCAGCTAGAAACGTCAGAAGAAAAATGTTACCCATTTTCCAAAATATTTTCTAAGAGCTCCAAAGCTCTAGTAGAATTCTTATCCTCACCACAAACGCATATATACAGCAAATTGGTATAGCAAATATTGCTAACAGCGCAAAATGTATAAATTCCTAAAAAAAATAAAGATTTTATGGGATTAATCATTGTTTTCAGCTTATTACCATATCGGCCATTAGTTTTATTGTGTAAGCAAATCCAATAACCATGACGACGGGGGAAAGTAAAATAATGTCAATTGTACTGAGGCTAAAAACTTAAATAACAATAAAAACTGATGATATAAATATTTTAAAAAAGATACCATGTCGCAGGAGTCCAATAAGAAGAGTTACGCCCACAATACCCACTATAATCCAAGCATGAATTGCCTTACATTTTTCACACATTTAAGAACAATTTAAAGCTTACAATTCTTAGTTGACACTGAACTCTGAAGTAACTCCCTTCATAAGCATTCATAGGGTATCTCAACCTGTATTCCTAACTATAAAATATCCACCAAATGGTTTCACCTAACGATTTCCATCCATAATTCTGGCAAACAAATGAAAACTAATTTTAGTTGTCTGGCACTTAACACCAACTCACGACTTGTCCATTTCGCCTAATGACCAGATATATAGCCATACTGAAACCGATGCTGGGGGCTGTGATTGGGCTAACTGCGTCTGCCTGCTTTTCCCTTTGTGGCGTACGGAATGGCGTTTTATTGGATAACTCAATCAAATATGTGCTGGGGGAACTCAGGTTACCAAATAGGTAAAACGAGAGGGATTTGAACCAAACTGCAAGTTTACGGTGAAGAATTTCCCTTCTCAGAAATGCAGATTTCAAAGCAAAAGTAACCTCCGAATAATACCTTCTACACAAAAAAATATATATGGGTGTATGTTTATAAATCATTCCTAATGTCTATTGGAAGTATTATATTTTTAGTAATTAAGCTGTTAGGTATGCTGATTTTATCACATAATTTTTAAATGTTAAAAAATATGAGTTTTTAATAATTTTTAAATTGTTCGAAAAATTGAAATTGAACTTGGTCATGCAAGTTCAATTTTCTCGCCGTTGAATATCATTTTCCAAATGTTTTATAAGAGTAATTGGAAAAAATACAAACAAATGTTGTTTTAATAAATGTATTTGAAAGAGATAGTCTCGCTTTTCTTATAATTACTTTCTTAAAAATCAAATCTAAATCTCATCTATACGAAAGTGTTAAACATTTATTGTTCATTAACTTGTCGAACAAATGTTTTCAATTTTTCATCTTTAAATTAGCCATTACCGATATTATCGACACCTTAGATTTGTTTGTGTATTTATGATATTAATGCGCCATCAACCCGCAACATTCCACTGACGCCATGCTAATTCGAATGCAAGCCCTCGAACATCCTTGAGAGTTATGCAAAGCAGGAGCTGCCGAATGCAAAATGTGTTTTCACTTTTGTTCGTTTATCAAACGGGTGTCGGGCTGACTGGCTGGCTGACTGGCTGGCTGGTTTTGTTGGTTTCGTTGGGTTTCGTTTGCCAGTTTGTCGGTTTGTTGGCAGGGCGCCATGGTCCGACTCCAACTGCAATATGACCAACGGCAACAAATAGCTGACAGTAACAACAGTAACAACAGCAATGGCGCTGGATACAGCTGAAAACCAGGAAAGGACCCGGGGCGAATTCACGACTCGCACCGCATATTGAAAGCAAAAACTGCAGTCAGAGTGAGTCGGAGAGTGAAGACAGGCACACGTGATGGGGTATATTGGGATTGTGTTAACGGTGTGGCTACATGGATGCATGGCTGGATGGATGTTGGGGCCTCGATGTGGAGCGGGTGCAGCTGCCCCAACAATCCAAACACCCAAACACCCAGCCACCCAACTCCTCGACGAGTGCCTTGATGTGAAGCCAAGTGAAAATGAAAACAAAGTTTAACAAACCGTGGCTAACGAGCTACATTATTAAAACTTCAAAAATGCATAAATTTGCCGGAGACGAATGGAGCGAACTGCGGCATTATAATAATATAATGCATATCCTGGGCAGGCATTTGAAAGTTATTGACACCTTCCCTTCTCTCTCCTCTCTCCTCTTGGCAACTCGTGACTCGATCGGTGCGCAGCTCCTCCGCAAGAAGGTGTTGCAACATGGTCTATGGTGTGCCTGTGCCTGTGCCTGAGCCTGAGCCCCGGTGCCTGCCCCAAAGTTGCACGATCTGGGCAGCAGACCCAAGCGCAAACCCAAACATAAAACCCAACTGGAACTGCGAGTCGAGTTCGCGACTCGGCTGCCAAGTGATTCTGCGCATATTAGTTGGCCATTAGGCGCACACCATTGTCAGCTGTGAGCGGCAGTCGAAAGCGCATTAAAATTCAGACGGTGTTAAATATTACAAGCGCCCCCTTGCTGAAAAGGGGAAAAGGTTTCGCGCTGATTTGCAGCTGCCACTCAAGAGCAGGAGGTTGGCTTGGAGTGGGAGGGGTTTCGAGGATCAGCGGGTTGCGGGGGAGCTTGTGAAATGTTGTGGCGACGTGATATGTTAATCTTGCAGGCCAAAACGTGGAGCGCTTGGGATGCGGATGTTTGGCAGACAGAAAAACACTTGTTGGGTCGCCATTAGTTGGAATGCAGAAACCTCACAAGAGATGCCTCCTTTTATGTGCATTAAGAAAGAAAATTATAAATGTTATTTTCAATTTGTAAGTGTAACTACAAGATATTGGTCTCATAATTTAATATTTGAACTACTACGCGAGGATATATTTAATAAGGCGTACCCATAGAATATTCAGTAAGGTAAGGATTTTAGTAACAACTACTCAATAAATTCACTACTTTGTATATGGGGCTTTCATATTTCCTACACAGAAGCCCTAACCAAATCCCTAAAACAAAAATAATTTAAACTTTAGAAAAATTAAACTTCAAGTGTTGTTTTTTGATGCTCTTAAAGGCTTGTTAGTTGAACAACTGTCGACAGTTAATAGTCCAACTCAAGTCTTTATTCTTGTAACATTTGTGTTTTGAAAGAGGTAAGAGGAAACATATTTTAAATGGGAGTATATGCTATCCCTTCATGTTAATGAAAGAATCCTTGGCATTTTGGACCACCAAAACAGTGATCTTTGCATCTGGGGTGATGAGCACCTCGTGATATTTAGTGCGAACCCTTAAGAAAGTCAATGTTTGAGCTGGCTCCATTTTGGATAGGAATGCCTGGCACTTTTCACGCAAGTTGTCATACAGACAGGCGTACTGCAGGCTCTCCTGTCGTTCCATGGATGTTTTAACCGGTACACCCGAGTGATTCATGATCAGGATGTCCTCGACGCCAGGTTTTTCCTGCACAAGACGAAATACTTCATCCACATACCTCTTGGTGCGAACAGGCTGCGGGATTTGAATGTTAATTAATGCAAAGTAATAATTACTTTATTATACATACATCAACCTCTGCTACCTGCATTTTGCTTATAATGTTGAAAAGTTATCTAAATCAATAATTTCCTGGGCTGCTTTGATTTGATTTAATTAAAGAATCCGTTTTAAACGCTGCTATTTAATTCAGCATTGTTGTATATATATTAAAAGACTTTTAATATTCTTACCTTAAAACTTAATTTTACTCAGAAATTAAATGCACACAAAAAGAAAAACTGAAGCTTTTGTTTTAATATGTGTGACATAAAATAAACTTCAAAGTTTGAAGTTCAAACAGTAAAGTATAAGTATTCAATGCAAAATAATATTAAACCCTATACTATTGTATTTAGTTCCATTTCTATACCGAAGAGTCTTAAAACTGATGTAACACTATTGTTAAAGTATGAAATAGTATCAATATTTTAATATTCCATCGTTGACGTTTACGAATCGAAAAGAAAGAAATATAAGCTTTTACGGCACCAGTGTTAATCGCAATAAACCGATGTAGAAATATTTCCGCACTGTTATTAGTATCCATAAGAAGGACAAACAATGATAAATTCCGCGGGTATCATCCCTGTGACGTCATAATCACGGGCATTTGATGATTTAGCCCGATGGTGAGCAGGGCCAAATTAGGCTAGAGTTATTTGCCAAAGCGGGCTCTAACTCGCCGGCCAGGTCTAATCGGCTCTTAACTTTTAGCTGCCAAGCATGGACGGCCCACTTTCGAGGTGCGCTCCCAGAGCATAAAGTGCAATTATAGCGGTGCAGCGAGGAACAGGGCCATGAAATACCAACACCCGACAGCTGTAAACAACAATTTGCCGGGCGGCCATAACCGCATCGCATCGCATCGCATCTCAGACCAAATGCCAATAACTCGCCGGGCCAGAGAGCTTATAAAAAAGTTATTTAAAAGCCCAGCCAGCCACTCGGCTGGACTCCACGTCCAAGTCCAAGTCGAAAACGAAGACGAAGCCAATCCAATCCAACAATGGCAAATGATGATGAGACGTCCGAGTTTGAGTTTGAGTTTGAGTCCAAGTCGTTTCAGGTTAAACGCTAAGCGTTTCGGCAGACGCGCAAAAACTTAGACGCGCTCAAGGAGTCGAGGATGGAAACTTGAATGAAAATACCCCAGCCGGAGAAGCGAATGTAATGAGCAAATTTATGGTCAATTGATAATTTAGAGGCATTCGGTATCATCAATAATGGACCGTCCGTCCGTCTGTCTCGATGCGGATCAGACCGACTGAAGATGAGGCATTGTTATGGGTACCAATGTGGCGCAAATTGTGCTAAATGTTTCGGCATTCGACATTCGGCGTCCAGCATTCAGCAGGCCCTAAGCACACGCACACGCACACGCACATGAAATATATTTATGTGGCCATCGTAAGGGGTCCGTGTCCACATTTTATATAATTCGACTGTCAACCGGAGAACTGGGTCAGAGCAGAGGCTTGAGTCGACTGCAAATCTCGCCCCGCAATTTTTGTTGTTGTCTAGGCCTTCATGCCTTCATGGCTCGCAATTTAAGTCGCTAATTGAACGCTTTGTCTGACACATCGAATAAATCACACGATTTCCAGCTTGCACCTTGCAAGCCAGTCGAAGGAGGTCTTCCTGAGGTCTGAGTCGCCTGAGTCGCTTCCACCAACTGCACGTCGCCATGTTTATGCCAATAATATGCCATAAAGTATAGAAAGGAGCCGGCAGAGCTCAATGGAGCACAATGGAGTTGCTCGGTGCTCGGTGCTCAGTGCACATGGGGTCCAAAAACGGCTGGCTGTTTGGCTTTCTGGCTGTTTGGCTTTCTGGCTGCCGAGGAGCGGCTTCCTCTGATAAACTTTATGACATCGAAGGGGGAAGTGAATGTGGAAGTGCAGCCACTTTGTCAGCGGCCATCCGCTGGTTACCCCAACCCGATTCCCATTCCGCTCCCGACTCCAAGCCCATTCCCTTTAGCAGTCCTCAAGCACGGCGCTAAAGTTTAAGCATTGCCCGAACTTTACGCACAACTTGCACACATAATTTACGTCCCATCCTCCGCTCCTCTGCGTAATTATTGGCCAGGAGCCGGAGTCGATCCGGAGTCGGAGTTGGGATCTCAAACCGGGCATGGGTTATATGTGAGTGCATTAGAGGCGACCACAAATTGTTTGGTTTGCTTTGGTTTAGCGCAAATTGTAGTCATAACTTCTTCTCGCGCTGCCGTCAGTCGGACAATCGGGACTGTGATGGCTCGAATGCACCTCGTTTTGGCGGACGGAATTGTGGAGAGGTTAACTGGTCTTGAACTCCCCCCATTACGACGTCATTCGATCGGAGTAATAGATGACTATTAAGAAGTTGCACAAATATGAGAAAGCTTCCAGTGTCTAAGACATTTTAGTGGGTATGGCAAAAATGTTGATTCGGGGGTTTGGCAGGATAGATAAACACCATTTAACTGAGCTTTTAATATTCAATTTTTATTTTTTTAAATCGTGTTTCATTAATTCCTCTAAAATGTTGCATGAAAAATGACTTATTTTAAAAGTAATTCCTAGATATAGCACAAATTGTTAAATTTGCCTAAGGTTGTTTTTAATTAATATCAAAAAGAGAAGAAGTAACTTAAATCTTGCAAAATATTCACACATATGTTATTGTTTAATTGCGCAATAATTGCATTTAACCAACAATATTGGCGCTTGAGCAAAGTGTAACTCAAATCCATGAGCAGATTGACCGATTAGGAAGACCTCCTCCGTTTGAGCCGGCAACTGCCGCAAATCCCACATCAATCAAATTGCCCGTTGCCCCAACAACAACAACCTGCATATCAACAACTAATGTATCAACAATAGCTTTGTGTGTGTATTGCGGGTGCACGACGGGCAAATTAAACCCGGCTTAAGTAACCGCTATGCACAATGGCGCTCAGCACATGCAAATTATATTGTCCATTAATCGGCCAAGTCAATCAAGGTCGGTCTCTGGTTTCCTTACCTTGAAACAAATGAATCGAGGGGATTAGAGGTTTGAACTCTGCAGATAGTATAACTAAATGTTCTTCCTAACCGAACCATTATTAGTTTGAATTTTTAAGTTTGTTTGCAGCTAACCTCCAACTCTGTAAGTCGGTGGTTTTTCATATAATTTTTGCTTTTAATTTATCAAAAATAAAATTCTTGTTACAGGTAATTAAATACTGAATCCAAAATGCATTGCATTTAAAACCAATGTTCCCAGTTTAGTGGGCCTGCAATTGGCTTGCATGCAGAATATAATAATGTGCCACGCCCCCCGCCCTTCCCAGCACACACAAACACACCCACACATGTTTGAAAAGGACACCTGATTCCTTACTCAGGACTGCCACAGTTGGTATGAAACAGGGCCTGGACAAACTGCCGAGCCGAGCCACCAGGATGTGTCCTTCGTTTTCTGCATTGATTTTGAATTTCCAAGGAAGTAGCGCGGAAACTTGTTAGTCCGCCATCCGCCCATCCTTTCACCTTTCACCCCCCACGCCCACCCCTTTCTCCGCCCACACATAATTTGCTTTGCATGCAGTTTGCCAAACGGAGGGAGACAGAGCGACACGAGCCTGGCCCGGGCTATTACGCTGGCAAATTGCAATGTAATTAGTTTTTACATTTCTATATAGTCGGCGAACGTATAATTGTGGAAAATGGCATTTCTAGTTAATTAATGGCCTGCCCTGCCCTCACCCACTGCCACTACCAGTGCCACTACCAGTGCCAATGCCAATAGCCCCGGAGCTCTGGAGCTTTGCGAAAACTTTCTGCACATTTGTTGCCGCTTCCCATCGTGTGCAGTCAACAAAAAAGTGCAACTGCCACGCCCCCGCTCGCCCACTGTCAACCTTTGGCAACTTTGCTTGAATTGCTTGAAAAATTTAATTAAAACGCTGGTATTTTCGTGCCCTCTACTCGTAAAAATATCATTTCAATGCACACACTCATTGGAATTGGAAAGGATATCCTGGCAGAATGGGGGGAATCCAGGCTGCCACCCGAAATGCAGTCACAAGCTGTTGATTCAATTACGAATTGGTTTGATTAAAATTGGACAGCGAATGGGGTCACTTCTTTGTAGTATCAATTATATTGTTGTGAATACAAATGCTTGCTTCCGATTGAAACCAATGTTACTTGGAACTTAACGTCAAAGCAATCTGTAAATAATGACAAATGTTGTATATTAAATACAAAACGGTTGCTGGTTTAATTTGTGAAGTGCAAATAGCTTTAAGGGTGAATCATTTTGAAGTCTGAGCACAGAGAACCCATCGTGTTCTCTTTAAATTCTATGTGTTTACTCAGTTTAGTTTATATGGAAAATTGCTTGGAAGTTATTAAAATGTGCAGATGTCCAAGCCACCAGAACAGTTGCTTCCTTGTGGCAGGTTTGGCGATTATGACAGCACTTATAGATCTGGGATACAAATACTACCAGTTAGGTAAAATAAACAGTAGTTAATGGACTCACCAAAAAGTTTATTTTTCTTTTAAAATCATAATAGCGTTAGCGAAACATCACAGATAATTAACGAACGAAAAACACCTGGTATATATTTATAGCCACATTGAAACTGAATGTTTGGATAGTGGCATCAGCTGTCAACTGGATATTGGTGATAATTGCCGCTGTTATACTGATTGTAGGCGCAAAAAAGGCAAGTACTTTTCAAATAAATAAATTCAATCTCTACCATATTTCCCGTATTTCAGAAAAACATCAGTCTTTTGCTGATTTGGGTAATAAGTTCAATTGTGCTCGGAGTTTCTCAGGTTCTTATAAAGATTGTAATATTTTTGTGCTTTTTTTATGACAACGTCCCTCCGATGAGCCGTATTGTGAGAAGTAGTTTCCTTATCTTCGATATATGTCAGTCAACCCAAAATATTATTTATCGCTGCAATCTAATGAAGCTTTTGCTTTTCAGTATTGTTCTCTCTTTTCGCCTACTACCCCTATGCATATATCCATGAGCTGAAGGAGCAAGACGAACAAAATCAATAAGGCCATCCATTTGCTTGTACTAAAAGAAAAACCTTATATTTTTTGTAAGATCATTGAAGTTGAACTCGGATTAACATGTATAAACTTTACTTGAAGTACTATAGTGTACGCTCAAAGGTTTTTATCGGGTCGAATGTGTAATTGCTGTTTACATTATTCTGGTGTGGACTCTGGAAAGTTTAATGTGCGTCTTAGTGGCTTGATAACCAAATAATTCTGGAGAAGCTGTTCCGTGCAGCCGATCTGTGGCAGATCCATTGTCTTGAAAGGCTCCATTCGCGGAACGTTGATAAATTTTGATAAGTTTTCTACTTGTTTTGCTCCGGATATTTGGTCACCGAGTGCAGCGTAAATGCCTTGAGAGTCTTGAGGCCTTTAAATCAAGTTCCGCTGTGTGAGACGATTTAGAACGTGGAAACTGTAAACTACCAGACACGGCTTTTGAAATAGTTTAGAAAAATAAGTTGTTGCGGCTAATTTTGAAGCACTAGCTTTTTTTAAAGGAATTGAATGTTAAATTTTACTTAACAAGAAACTGTTTAGACAGAAATATCCAAACGAACTTCGAATAATTTTAGATTGAAAAAACAAGGGCACGGGACTTACTAAGCACGATTCTTAAAATTTTCTAATAAAAAAATTATTTGCAAATGCACAATTCAAGTCAGCATTTAGCCCAAGAAGTTGAGTAAACAGACCATTAATACTAATTTATTATTGCCTCGTAATTATAAAATCTTTTTATTAAAAAGCAACATTATATATACAATATGTAAAATGGTGAGTACCAACTCTTGCATTAAATGGAAACCAAAGTGACTTGAAATTAAATGTCAAAGGAGTGTGTAAATCTAAACAAAAGATATTTTAATATCCAAAAGTATATATAATTTAAATGTTTGGCTGTAGAAAGCAAATGCGACTAGAAACGGTATTTGCTTTCCATCAGTTACCAACAGCAAAATTAAATATTCCATTCTCCCCACCTTTGCAAACAGAAATATAAATTTGGAACAATATAAAAATGTGCTTGGATAGGTACCAAAAGCCTTGTTGCGTCCTTTTAGGAATTACGGCGATTACATTTGGAGTTGTGGAGATATCATACAACAGCTACTTGCTAGGTAAATATGTCATTAGAAAGATATGTAATCTCACTTACCAACTATTATTAAATTGTTATAAAATCGATTGTTAATAATGAAAATATTTAAAGTCCAGTTTGAGATAAATTATTGGTTAATAGCATCAGTGGCAGCCTGGTCGCTGATTGTCATTGCCGCAATACTTCTGATTGTGGGGTCATTAAAGGCAAGTACTTGGTAACTAAATAAAATCAATTTACAACTTCCAATCACAACCATTGACTTTAGAGAATGCCACTTCTGCTGCTGATCTGGATAATAGTTGGACTGGGGTGCGGAATTTCTCTGATTATTATTAGAACTCGCTTGCTGATATCTTCCCATTTGAGGAAAGGTGTAAATGCAGACATTCTACGTGCCATGATCAATATATTCTTTTTATGTCAGTCAATTGAAAATATTCTTTCAAGCAACATTCTAATGTCAATTCAACTCTTACATTTCAGTATTGGTCTTTATTTGGTCCTACTACCCCTATGCATATATGCGTGACATAAAACTAGAACGGTTCGCACACATCAGCAATGCGTAGAGATAGGGCATTGGGAATTCGGAATACTCAGTAAAATGTTTGCAAGTTTTTCCTTAAATCGAACTAATAAAATCCAAACCCTTAGTTGTATGACTGTGTTCAGCTCGAGTCAAATCAGCCATGTCTGCCTTAAATTCAACATCCATTCCGACTCCATTTCATGACTTCATTTTTTAATAAACAAATAGCCGGCAGTGACCAGGAGATCCGAATTTGCATAAAATAACAGAAGCAATAACAATGGGTGACAACAAATCAAATGCGAATGGTAAACCAACCGCAAATAGAAAGTGAAAATCAAACACAAAACGCTACCGTTTATTTCTGTGCTTTCGCATTTTCAGCATTTTCTGGCCGCTTTTCCAGGTCTTTTGTGTTTATTTGTCGGGCGTCTAATTTAAATAAACATTTATTTGTACAAAGGCTTTAATACATTTGGCAAATGACTTCCTGAATTGTGTGCAGCGGGTACCAGCCCAACTGCTGGCTGCTCAAATTGCATAATCGGTGAGACAAATGCAGGGGATTATGAAATCCTTCGCTCACAGGCTACAAATCCAGCCGAAAACACGAGCGCGAGCTGCCGCGGAGACGCCACCGACCTGGCAACAACCTGTCGCATATTTAAAGCGATTAACGGCACGATTTCAGTCGCTGCCTGCAAGCAACAGCAACATCACAGCAGCAACAGCAACAGCAACAGCAACTGCACGGCAGCAACTGCAGCACAGCAGCAGCAACACGGTGGCAAGGCCTCAGCATAAAAATTGAAATTGAAATGCTTTTGGCAGTGCCAACACTCTTTGGTCTGATGCTGGGCCAACGAGACTAGCTTTTTTTGGGGTATTTCCAACATTACTTACGTTATCTTCAGGGTAAAATATAGGTATAGGAAATAACAATAATAATTAGAATAATAATTAATGTTTTGTTATGTGTTTTTATCTGGGTAATCAATAAATTTTATTATTAATTGACTTTGGTCTTCAAATACCAGCTACAAAACTTTTTAACCAAATAGTAAACTCAAGACTTTAAATAAAAAAAATAAATCTTTTATAATATTACAGAATTTTATGTTTATTTTGTTTATGTAGTATATATATATAGTATTTAGATAAGAAAATTTATCCTCATAAAAAATTAAAAGTTGCCAAAGTGTATAACAAATTCAATATATTAGTTTTTTAGCTTTGGTCTGGGCATTTCCTGTATTTTTTTTTGTGAGGGGTAGTTCGTGTCTCTAGCGTTGCAACGAAAACGTTTGTAAATACTTTGAAAGCATTTCCAGCAATGGAACAAACACAAAATGGGCTCCGCTGCTGCAATTGGAAAATTGTGAAAAATAAAATAATATATTGTGCACAATACTTGCATACTTGGGCATAAGCCATTGTTATTGCGGCGCTGTGAATTCCCCCACCACCTAGTTTCACAACGAGTGACCTATAAATAAAGTTGGCAGCCAAACAACTGGGCTCAGAAATGGCAAACAGCGTGAATTGTGCAATAAAAAAAAAATAATAATATGAATATAACTACCGCAAAGAGTCAGATTTTCAATTGGTTTTGTATCCCTTTTCTTTTCTATCCTACTCCCGATTTTCCGACTGACTGACCCTTGACCTTACCAGCTTTTCGGCTTGTAAGCTGCTTTTAAGTGGGCAACAAAATTGCAAGGTTAGCAAGTATATAAGTGGGGTTTGCACTCTTTGGTAACTTTATGGAAATGAATTGTTTTTAGTCGGTACTTTGCTTTGATTTTATCCGGAAAAGTTTTGGGGCTCCTTCAAGAACCTCAAAAATTCTATACATAAATGCTCGCTTACAATGAGCTCGTGAAACTAAAACTTGAGTTGCTCCGATACAGTAGAGATTTCTGCTTGTGGCCCCAGGCATTCAGTACGTCTAAATGGCAAAAGCTTTTATCAGCTCCGATTACACACTTTAAGCAACAAAAGTGTCACTTTAAAAGCAGCGGAAGAACAGGGAGCGGCCTCAGGAGTGGATGGACACCTGAGAGAGCTGCTGTGGTTGCCCCACCGCAACATTGTTGCCCGAAACCAGCGTAACCCAAGTCGAGCAGGGGCAGGCATCCTAGGGTTCCAGCATCCCAGCAGCCCAGCAGCCCAGCATCCACATCCACCCAGGCAGCAGGCAGCGTAAGCTAACTCAACTTAAATAAATTTAATTTAATTACCAGTAAAAACCGCATGAGTAACTTCAGCCCGAGATGAGAGCAGAGCAGAGCAGAGCAGACTGTCGTTATCCGGCGAGCTGAGATGCGATGAGATGGTTGCACGTGAAAGTGGAGCACCACCTGGTTGGTTTGGGTTCACCTGTGCCACCTGAGCCCCATTCCTGGCTTTATTTAGGAAATAACATTTTTGTGGCAACACATTTTTGGATTTTATTACAGATCCTGTGCCAGGACGCGTTCGTTGAGTGCTTCTCACTCTCGTCTGCTGATGCTGCTGCTACTGCTGCTACGTTGAGGTCAACATGCATTTTATCATTTTAAATAGCAGAGTGGCAAGTGGCAAGTAGCAAGAAGAAGCAGCAGCTGGAGGCTGGAGGGCACTCGACACTAGACACTCGACGATAAATAACCTTAATGTAGTGCCGGGTCGCCCTTTCGCTTTGGTTACATGTTTAATTACGAGCTGCACAATCTCAAAGCATACTTTCGGGCGGCGCTGAAAAAAGTGCTCGAGAAAGTGTAGTAGAAAAACGGGCTGTAGCTTGGCTGCGCCTGTGTGAGTAAGTAAGTATCTGTGTGACTGTGCCGTGTGTGTATGTGCGTGTGTGTATGGGACAAGGTCAAGTCAGCACTCGGTTAGCACTGCTCCCGATTATAATGCAAATTGGCCTCGCAGTGTTTGCACATGTCGGCAAATACTTGAGCGGTGCCACAGCGGTCCTTGAGACACACTAACCACCCACTCATCCTATCAACCACCAACCCACCCAAACAGCGAAACTCAGTCACACACACGTACACACCAGGTCAGAGCTCCCAGGCGGCCAAATCGGAGGACTTTGTCGTTATTGGTGTGTGGAAGCTAGAGCGGCTCCTTTAGAAAGCTTAGGACCAGAACTTATTTACCTACATGGAGTGCCCTTCACGGAAATTAACCATTTAAATTAAGTTAAAAATTTAATTAACTAGTAAAGACATTTAAAGTAACCTTTAATAAATGCCCTCAAATGCCTTTTGTTATAAATTGTTTTGTTAATCTATTATTATATATGTGCATATTACAATGTTTGCATATTTTTTGCTTATTATTTAAAACAAGAAAGAAAGCAAACTTCGGCAAGCCGAAGTTCATATACCCTTGCAGCTATTGCAAGAATTAAACATTTTGGAAAACATTAAAATTATAATTTACTTGCGTATAAGTTTAAAAACATTGAAGCTATGATGATTTGCAGCTCAATTATTTGATAGTTACTTTATAAATTTTTATTGTTCCTATGGGAGCTATATGATATAGTCGTCCGACTTTGATGAAACTTAAACCGTAAATTGGAAATATTTAACCATTACTAAATGTCGAAGAACTAAACAAAAAATTAAAAAACAGAAAAGTTATAATTTTTTTTCATTTATTTCTCCGATTGTTCCTATGGGAGCTATATGATATAGTCGTCCGACTTTGATGAAATTTAAACCGTAAATCGAAAATATTTAACCATTACTAAATGTTGAATAACTAAACAAAAAATTAAAAAACAGAAAAGTTATAATTTTTTTTCATTTATTTTTCCGATTGTTCCTATGGGAGCTATATGCTATAGTCGTCCGATTTTGATGAAATTTTTACCATAATTCTGAAATATTTAACCATTGCTTTATGTCGAAGAACAAAACAAAAAATTAAAAAACAGCAAAGTTATAATTTTTTTTCAATTATTTTTCCGATTGTTCCTATGGGAGCTATATGCTATAGTCGTCCGATTTTGATGAAATTTAAACCATAATTCTGAATTATTTAACCATTGCTATACGTCGAAGAACTAAACAAAAAATTAAAAAACAGCAAAGTTATAATTTTTTTTCATTTATTTTTCCGATTGTTCCTATGGGAGCTATATGCTATAGTCGTCCGATTTTGATGAAATTTAAACCATAATTCTGAATTATTTAACCATTGCTATACGTCGAAGAGCTAAACAAAAAATTAAAAAACAGCAAAGTTATAATTTTTTTTCATTTATTTTTCCGATTGTTCCTATGGGAGCTATATGCTATAGTCGTCCGATCCGGCTCGTTCCGACTTATATACTATCTGCAATAGAAAGACAACTTTTGGGAAAGTTTCATGCAGATAGCTTTAAAACTGAGAGACTAGTTTGCATATAAACGGACGGACAGACGGACAGACGGACAGACGGACATGGCTAGATCGACTCGCCTAGTGATGCTGATCAAGAATATATATACTTTATAGGGTCGGAGATGTCTCCTTCACTGCGTTGCAAACTTCTGACTGAAATTATAATTCCCTCTGCAAGGGTATAAAAATTTAGAAGAGTTGCAAAAGTGATATTGGAAACCAGTTTGTTCAACACTGTGACTGTCAAATTCAGAGAAATTATCTGATTTGTAGTATGTTTAAGTTAAATTGGCATTGTTTTAAAACATTTTGTATTCACTTTTGTAATGAATTAAAAAAAGTGTGTCTTGAAAATAAACTACAGACAATGTTAAAGTATAAGAATTATATCAGTACTAATTAAAATAACAATTATACTTTTAATTTTTACTTCTATACCGAGCAATCTAAAACTGTGTTCTGTGGTCTTATTTTTAAGCCACATAAGTTTTTCTTATACTTTATTAATATTTTGAGAAATTTTCCATTCCAAATAGTTCATGAAACATTTCATCTTTGATAGTTTTTTCGGTGTTCGGTAAATAGCATTCTTTATCAAATATTTAATTGTAAATAAAGGACTAAAAAAAATGCCATATTAATTCGACATTTTCACTCTTGTTTGGGTTTCTGGTAGGGCACATCGAGTGGCAGATCCTTTTGTGTAATCTGTCCTAAGCGCTGCTTAAATGCATTTCATTAATCGTTCGCCAGCCCATTCTTGGGAAAATTCATTCATCCCCGAACCACCCCGCACCGCCCCGCCCCGCACCGCCCTCGTGCGCCGTTGCCTGGTAACCTAGTTTAATAAATAAATCGCAGTTTTTTCGTGCCTTGGCCGACGTCCCTGCGATCCACGTCCCTCCCCCAGGACTACTTCTTTCTGTGTCTTTTTGTCTTCGGCAAGTCATTCATGTGTGCAA